TCTTCTCACCCATCACGTCTTTCTATCAATGACCGCAATGGTGGTGAAGACAACAACTCCCATGATCCCACGCTGCTTCACCACCTCATCTAACTTCCTCTTTTCTTACTGTAGCGGCAGAAGTTACGTATTGTTGCACCTAAATAAAACAACTTTTCTTTAAAGCTGCATTAATACATTTCTGGCCACTTGGGGGCAGCAGAAACAAGCTGTAAAAACAATTATCTCCTCATTAAGTGTTGATGTGAACTTGTTAGCAAACAGTAAACACATTTACTCATCCAGCAGACACAGAACAACATGACCACCGCATTGAGTCCTGTTTGTGTCCAATATTCACCTGGTTAACTGTAAATCATTCAGTATTTTTCCACTAAAACAGCCAATTTAAGGACTTCGATTGAAGGTAGATTACAGAGATTTTAAACAGAAAAGAAAATTCTCATCTTGGAAAAACTTAAACTTTAGCATGTTTGTTGTTTTTTTACTTTGTAAATGAATTACAGCTATATAATTTATCAGCTGTGTTCATTTTCTGTCAGTTGACCGTTCGAGAGGTTGTCAAACTGTGAGGCGCCTCCTCGGGGGGGTGCAGGAGAGTTCAAAGGGGAGAGGGAGAAAGGTGAGGCAAAAAATAGTGCACAAAGCGTATGGGGATTAAAAAAACGAACCCACTCTCTGAGTCATAACTCAATCAAACCTTAACACACAGACATCATACACATATTTTTAGATTCAGTGTGAGTTAAACTTTCTGAGAATATATATATATCATCCTCTCTGATGTCCGACGTCCATAAATCTGCTTAGAAATGATAGAATAAACTGCAGAACTTGCCTGAGAATCATCAGTTTTCCCTCAGTATTAAAGTAATCCAGTGCTAACAGGAAGTGCTAACAGCTCATTCAGCGTACTCTTAATGCCACTTTGCCAAAAATGTAAACAAATACAGGCTAAAGAGAAAACGGGGCTCAACAGTATATTTTCTGTTTACATCCCCTGGAGCATTATGGGAACTATGGCTCCAAAGCTTATTGCATTATTATCCCAGACACAAACATAAATAAGTGTGATAAAATCCCTTCGTATTAACTGATTAAAAAAGCTTCTCTTTCAGATAAATGAGGCTCAAAATGCTCCAACGACGTGGTTTGGTTTCCCTCAAACACTAATTCAATCTGGGTTTATGATTTTACAGCAAACTTAAATAAATATTGTTTTTAAACGAATCCTTGTTGGTGCGACTCGCTCTTAATGTGTGTCGTCGTTTTAGTCTCAGCGTCCTCTTCGCTAACGCCGCCTGGCGTCAGTCCGAGGTTTAAATAAAGTTTCTCCACATCCCTCCATGTGTCATCGTGTCTGATTCTCTGGTTTCTGATCGCAGACGGATTAAATGTGACCACGGAGTTACATTCCTGCTCGTTTCTGACTGAATTAAGAAAAAACTTGAAGCACGCAGCTGTGCAGCGGAAACTCACACACACACACTTCGTGTTGTTGTTGTCGTCGTCGTGGACATCAGGACAGATGCTGCTGGCTGGAGAGAGGCTCAGCTGGGAGGCATTAGACGGCTCAGAGACAGGACAGATTGTGTGTGTGTGTGTGTGTGTGTGTGTCCTGTTCAGGAAGTTCAGTCGCTGTCAAAGTTCACGTCAACAGGACAAAAGGACACGAGTTCAAATCTACCAGCTTAACACACAGCTGGTGCTCTGTGTGTGTGTGTGTGTGTTTTATAGAGACAGATATAATGTGTGCGTGTTTGTGTCAAAGTGGATGTTGTGACTTGTCTTTAAAAGTGTGTGTGTCTGTACATGTGTGTTTTAGATCTGCGTGTGTGTTGTTGTGTGTGACGGCTCTACAGGGTGTGTGTGTGTGTGTG